ACCATCTATTTCTCTCCGTGTTATAATAAATAAATAAATAATAATAATAATAATAATTAATAAATAAATGTAGGTGTTACTTATGAGTAACACTGTGACGCAAAGGGATAATAATAAGATCGATATAATACTACAACGCAACAGGGGAATATCGACTAAAATTGATTTTCAATATATCAAAAAAATCGATACTATCGATGATAATTTGATATTAAAATCGAATTTTCTATCAACTCTGTTAATAATAATTTGATACTATTTGAGAATTCGATATTAAAATAGATAATTTGTTATTCTATCGATTAATTTGATACAGACAAAAATGCGATACTATCGATAGCTTAGTACCATCGATAGTTTGATACAATCGATTATTGCTTTTAAAATTGATAATTCGATATTAAAATCGATAATTCGATAGTATCGATTATTTGATACAACCTACAATGCGATACTATCGATAATTTTATACTATCGATTATTGCTTTTACAATCGATAATTCGATATTAAAATCGATAATTTAATAGTATTACAATGCGATACTATCGATAATAATTCGATAATAAAATCAATAATTATAATAATAATATTGAAATTAGTAAATCTATTTTTTTTAATAATAAGTTTACCTACGTATCAAAATTAAGTTTCTTTTTTTTTTTGTTTTCTTTATAATTATATCATTACAATTAAAATTAAATGTAAGAAACAAGACAAATGCGTTTTATGAATAATGTTATTTTTAATTAAAGGCAATACAATCCGAAGGTAATATAAATATTTCGTTTAGCGAATAAAGAACAATAAAACAAAATTTTCCACGTGGCTTTTGTTATCATTTGATAAACAATGTTTCTTCTTGGAAAACTGAAATTTTCACACGAACAATTTCATAAATTCAATAATATTCTGAAATAATGCAGTTTTTAACTTAAAAAAACAGCATTAAAAATATAATAACTTTAATAAATAATTAAATTGTTTAAACATTATATTTACTATTTTTATTATTATTATTATTATTATTATTAATATTCTTATTTATTTAATTAATAACAAGGTAATAAATTAAATATAATTAATAATAATATTACAATATATACAATATAGCTTATTTTATAGTTAATTAATTTAAAGCAAATATGAGGTAAATGTGAACATTATATTATGAAAAAATAAAATAATAATACTGAATTGATTGTAAAAAAAAACAAAAAAAAATCTCGGAGAAACGTTTTGCTTTTCTCTAATTTTTTTTTTTTTGCGGCAATTTCTGTCTCGTAATTTTGGTTTTTATATTTGTTTTTCATTAATCGAGAATTTATACGAGCCATCAGGAGGAACTGGTTGCCGACCTGTTCACCGATGAAGGAGAATAAAAAAAAAAGAGAAGCGCACAACTATAAAAGTTACATAATCAGAGAGAATAGATAAAGCTCAAGAAAAAGATTCTCTTCGATGGATATGCTTTCTCTGTTTACATTTTATCGAGTATAATAAGTATATTATACTCAATGACTGATGATAATAAATACATTTTGTTTATCGTTTATACACTCAACTCAAAGTCATTTTTCATATTTTACATTTATATTAGTAATTATTATTATTATTATTATTATTATTTAATATGATTATTGTTATTCATCATTACTTATTGACAAATATTTGAAATAATAATATTTTATTTAATATTATATTCGATAAACAAAATAAATTTGATTTCATTTAATTTTAAATAATAATAATAATAAATAATATATGTAAAAATGTTATTATAATATAATTTATATATTAATATATGATATTTAATATGCTATTATGATATAAATAAAATTGTGATAAAATTGTTAATATAATTAATTTTTTATCGAGAAAAATTATTATTAATTTTTAATTGTAATTATTTTTATCAAAATTAATGCAGATTTTATTTTATTTTATTTATAAAAAAAATACTAATAAACAGAGTCTTTTAGTGAAACTATAACAAAAAATCTGATCCTGCTTTGAAAAAGGGACTGAAAAGCAAAAAAAAAAGTTACAGATTATGTTTATGATAGATTGAAGTGAAAATCCACAAATATAAATATTGGATATAAATATATTAAATATAAATATTTAAGTCTTCATTACATTGAAAATATTCCGTAAAAACTGATTTTGAGTTTACATAATTAAAAAATGAACTTTCAATCAAAGTTAAACTATCATAAATATATATATATATATATATATATATTTTGCTTCTTAGTAATATTTTAGTTATATCTAATTATAATTTCTGAGTATAAGTAGAATTTCATAAATTTTTTGTTTGTTTGAAAGTGTGCAAGAAAATTGGTAAAAAGTAAGTGCAATACGAAAAAATAATTGTAAAATAAAAAGAAAGGAAATAAAAGTGTGAAAGAAGTTAAAATGAAAAAAAAATTGGTCTTCCACGAAGTACGAACATCTGTTCTCATTACAGTCAGCGAGAATTTAAGGATGAATGAAAAGGAAGGCTTTAGTAACATTAACGAGGAAATTAAGGATTATTTTTCTTTCTGTCTTTTTAAATTCACATGCTATATTTATACCACGATTGGTGTAATTAAGAATATAATAATTTCACGATTTATACCCCTAAAAATCTTTCTTTTACAATAAATTTATTCTCAAATTTATGGAATAATCATAAATTTAATTAAATTAGCCAAAATATATGGCGGAATTTTAAGGAAAAAAAATATCCACTGACGTTTTTTTTCTATCTATTTCGACCCCCAAAAAAAAACTAAAAACTGGTAGAACAATTAAAAACAAATAAAACAAAGAACAAATAAAAAAAAAACTAGTGAAATATATCCTTTGCACAATTATTAAAACTGGCGGAATTTCCCCCCCCCCAAAAAAAACTATGAAACTTGCGGAATCGCTACACTCCCATAAAATAGACATAGAAAAAAAATTATTTTTTCAAAAATGGAAATATAAAAATATGCATTTAAATAATCGGCGGAATCTGCAAGATATTTTTGTAAATAATAACCCGGTGGAATAAATTCCATCTGTAAATACACATCTGGACTGTAATGTAAAAGGACATATCATTAAATCGGCGGAACTGTCACTTATTGATACCGTTAGAATGGAATACATAAAACTTAACAAAATCATTAAAATCAAATTCCACCAAGACAAAAACAAGTATAATATATCAATAATGAATTGTTACTACTTAGTAATTCTGACTAGTGGAATAAATTTCACCTATTTCTTTTTTTCATATATGTACTTTTTAACATTTTTTTTTTCGATTCGTGGAATTATCATTTTTCCACACTACTATATATGATTGACTAAAGAAATTCCATCTGATTGTATATACATTTTTTTTAAATTAAAAAAAAACCGTCCGAATTGATACTTTTTTAAAAATACTGAATATGACCGAATTCCATCTCATTTTATATGAAATAATTTTTATAAGCATTAAAGATATCGGAGGAATTTATTCTTTTTTAAAGACAATAACTGGCTTAAAAAATTTCAACTGATTATGGAAAAAAAAATTTTCATTTTAAATTTTCAAAAAAAAAAAAAATTTAATTAAACCGGCGGAATTAAGACATTTTTTAAATACTGACTGACATAGTAAATTCCACCTTATTCTATATAATATTAATAAATGTATGGATCATTTTTAACTTATTCTATTTTTAGTACAAATTTAAAAAAAAAACTGGCGGAATTGACACTTTTTTGGAAATACCGACTGACAGAATAAATTTCACCTTATTCTATATAATTTTTTTTTCATAAACATTAAATATACTGGCGGAATCGATCGTTTTATTAAATAAACTGGCTTAATAAATTTCAACTAATTCTACGTAAAAAATTAGCATATTTTCAAAAAACAAATCAAATAAACCGGCGGAATTGATACTTTTTTTGGAAATATAGACTGACTGAATAAATTCCACCTGATTCTATACATTTAAATTTTTCAGTATTTTTTAAAAAAACTTGAATATACCGGCGGAATTTTTACTTCTCTCTACAATTTTTACATTTCATTTAAAGAGGCGGAATTATACCATTTTTCTTTACTACTGACCGACTGACTGAATAAATTCCATCTATAAAAAATTCATATAAAAAATTTTCTTTAAAAAAAAAAAATTAAATAAACTGGCGGAATTGACACTTTTTTTGGAAATTCTGACTGACCGAATAAATTCCACCTGACTCTATATAATTTTTTTCATAAACTCTGATTTTATCGGCGGAATTGATACTTCTTTTAAATAGTGACTGGCTTAATAATTTGCAACTAATTCTACGTAAAAAATTAGCTTTATATATTTTCAAAAAACAAATTAAATTAACCGTCGGAATTGACACTTTTTTTGGAAATATTAACTGTTTGAATAAATTCCACCTGATTTTACATTTAAATTTTTCAGTATTTTAAAAAAAAGCGGCGGAATTTTTACTTCTCTCTCCAATTTTTATATTTTCTTTAAAGAGTCGGAATTACCTCAATTAGCACTTATTTGGAAATATTAACTGACTGACTAAATAAATTCCATCTAATTTTGTATAAAAAAAAAATGTTTCTGAAAAAAATTAAGTAAACCGGCGGAATTGACACTTATTTGGAAATACTGACTGACTGACTAAATAAATTCCACCTAATTCTATATAAAAAAAAATGTTTCTGAAAAAAATTAAATAAACCGGCGGAATCGTCATTTACTTACAATAGATACTGGCGGAATAAATTGCATCTTAATCGTCATTCAATACTTATTCAATTTCCGTTAGAATAATAAAAAAAAATTGTACGAAAAATAAAAGAAAAACCATTAAAATTTAACTAAAAATGTAATAAAATATTTTTAAATAAAAAAAAAAAAATTTCATACACTCACACACATTGAACATAATTTGAAATGACATTGAATGAATATTGACAGATTGGTGTGTACCCTAGTGGGTTATATATACTTACAGTGTGTCGAAGGGAAGGACAACAAACGAGTTTGTCTTTTGCACATATGAAAAACCTCTGTTGCTTTTGTGTTCACCACCGTATTCAGATAAACCGGAAAGTGTCCGTGTCTTTTGCACGAAGAGACACGCGAGCGCGTTATTGCGAAGAAATAAACACGAAGAGAAATGGGGGAGTTAAAAGTAGATGGGGGGGAGAGGGATTGTTCAGTGATGAAAACAAAATGATAAATTAAAACCTATTATTATTTTTTTTTTTTAATTAAATTTTATGAAAATAAAAAAAATTTAGAATAAAAAATTTTTTTTTTAAATTAATTAAAAGGTTTATTTTAAAAAAAAGTTTACGACAGAACTACATACACAATTGAATAGGGAGGAGAGAAAGGAAATGTCTTTTTTTTTCTCTCTCTTTCTCTCTCAACGACAACGGGAAGAGCAGTCCTTCTCGTCGGGCGTTCGCTGCCGCACTGATCCGAAAACATTCCGGATGGGGGTCTAATATCTACTGATTTTTCGAAAATAAGGGGAAAGGGATAAATTACCTGCTAAACTGAGGATGGGAAAGGGGGTGAGGCGAGAGAACGAAGAATGCGTAAAGAAGACGAGGAAAAAAAATAAGTGACGAGAAATCTTGTCATACGTATATATTTATTATTTGTATGTTTATATTCGCAAGATTATTACATTTTTTTGTAAGTATATGTGTTGATTCTGCAAAGAATATATTACCTGCGGAGAGAAATAATTTTTTATTTCATTACCCTTTGCCTCGCTAACATTATCCCTTGATTAAGTCCCAAACATGTAGGGCACATGATTATACCAAAAAAAAAAAAAATTGGAATTTCCTATTAAAATTTTCATTTTTGTATTAGCATTTGTGAATGAATTTCTTTTATAAACAAATTTTTATCTTAAAAGAATTTTAATTTAACAGAATTTACAATTTAACAGAATTCTCATTCAATAGAATTTTCAGTTATTCATATTTTTAGATAGTAGAATTTTTCAATTCATCTAATCTTCATTTGTTCGAATTTTTATTTGACCGAAATTGCAGATGGCTGAACCAATAGAAAGATGTTGGTGCAAAACCTCAAATCCAGCTGAATCTTGACTTAGAACTTGACATAATTTTTGGAGGTTATGTTAGATGTTCTTAACCTCAAACCCAGCGTTCTCTTGACCTATATCCTTGACCTTGAATTATGGGGTTATATTTGCCTCTTGACCCTTACTTATCGCCTAATTTTGAGGTTATGTTTTCAGGTTTGTATTAATATTTTGAACATTGACAGGTCATAAGTCAAAAAACAGCTATGTTTGAGATTAAAACATAGCTTCAAAATTGGAGCAAAGTTGAGGGTCAAATTACTAAGGGGCCATTCATTAATTACATAAGGCTCCTTAGTGGGATGGGGGGTTTATAAAATCTCTACATGGTCTTATGTCAAAGTGGGGGGGTGTAGAAGCTATTCTTATGTAATATTTTGCCAAGTATTTTCCATTTGTATTGTAATTTATGAATGGCCCCTAACATGCCAAATTCTAATATTGCAGTAACATTGCAGAAATAATTGCAATATTGAGGCAGTGTTTGCAATATTGCTGAAATTTTAGGTGCTATGGGGGATGTAGAGAGTTGGCAAGATCTTTATATATTATTATCTTCACTATTTTTTAAAATGTTTACATGTTGGTTCGACAGATGGCTCTGCATCAGCCTTCTTAGGATTTTTGTTTCCACTGTTTACTTTCTAAATTTGTATATATATATTTCATGGTAATCTAACTTCAATTTTTTTTGCCAGCTATTTATTCGGACAAATAAAAATTTGTCGTTTTAAGAATTCTCTGTAATATAAAAATTCCGAATAAATGGAAATTGCGTTCAAAATAATTTTTCAATTTTGAGGTTATGTTAGGGCCCTCATCCTCCTTAAATGAAAATTTACATATATTAAAAGAAAATTCGATTAAATAAAATAAATTATTGGTAAATTGATATTTTTTTTTAAATGAAAAATTCACGGTTAAATGTAAATTCTATTTTATAAAATTTTATACTTAAATGATAAGAATCTCTTGTAACCTCATTTTCTGCTCTATATTCATAAGAATAGCAAAAAAAAAAAAATTCTATTCATATTAAGATTATTTCACCTGAAAGGATTTTTTTCTCGGTCAAATTTACCTTATATCACATCAAGAAACACAGATTTCTCAAAGAACACTAACGGCTTGTGAAATTTAATTCTCTATTTACATCATATTGAAATATGTTGTCATTAAAACAGACATTATTCAATATTGTGAATAATATTTATACAGAGCAAACTTTATTTCAACAAGTTTTTGTGTAAAACAAACAAAATCAATATAAATAATGTCATTTAAAAAATATCATATAATTATTGAATAGAAATTATATTCTGTACATTTGAAAAAAAAATTAATTTAAAACCAATTATTTACATATCATTATTGATACTTTTTTGTCAAGGTCAATAAATTCCATTTAATCAATTGACATATAATAATTGATTATCATTTTAACAAAAAAATTTTTTAATAATTTTATAATTTTATAAAATAAATTATTAAATTTTTATAATATTTATAACAATTATTATAAATATTTAATATTTAATAAAAAAAAACTATATATATTTTCCTGCTCTTTCGAATGATGCAAAAAAATTTTCCAAAAAATGAAAATAATATATAACTTTCGGCCATTATTAAAATTTAAAGTACTCAAAATAATGGTGGTGTCTCCCCTTAAATCACTTTTATTATTTTCCGACACGGAAAAGTTTTTGATAGTTCCTCTCTATCAACAATAGTGGCGCCAAGCTCCTAGGCATTAGGCATGAAATATAGAGGCATTACCAGGGTTGGGTACGTAAATTACCTAAGGTAATCTACGTATGTTCTTTACACGTATAATACCTAGTAAATTACGTCTACAGTTTTCTACGTACGTAATTTACATCCTCTTATCAATCGTCACCGCGATCAAAACGGGAAGTCGAATCATGCGCAATAATATGTTGTGAAGCTTTGGTGAAAAATTGTAAAATAAAAACCATTTTAAATGAACAGAGGCGGCGGCAGGCCCAAACACTCATCTTGGGACAATTCGAATTCTAAAATGATTAAAACAAATGGACAATACGAAGCACTTTGCTTAGTATGTCAACATCTATTAAAAAATACAGCTGAAAAAAGACTGAAAGATCACCGGTAAGCTAATTAAATAGTTTATTATTATTATTGTTATTATTATTATTATTATTATTATTATTATTATTATTATTATTTAACAAAAAATTGAATTAAATAACTTATTTTGTTTTAGAAGAATATGTCCTCTTGAAGAAAAAATGGAAATAAGTGGATTCGAAAAGTCCAAAATTGCTTCCTGTGCAACTGAAAGTGATTTTTCGGTCGAAGAATCTCTTATTGACAATAATAACTTGGTAAGTTTAAGATTTTTTTTATATATTTTTTGATTAGCATTTAAAATCTATTAATTTATAATTAATAAATATGCAATTTTTAGATAAAACCGATTGAGAAAAAGCAGTCAAAAACTGTTAAAGAAATCGAAAGCAACAAAAAAGGTATATGTCAAAAGGACTGAATTGAATTTTCATTAACAGAAATCTATTGTGCTAATCTGCTCCATGTGACATTACCTTTAGGACGTTTAGTATTGAGACAATAATCTAAATAATGTTCTTGATATTTTCTATCTTTAGTATATTAATATTAAACCCAATTGCATAAATGCTGTCTTTCTGGTCTGACACTTTTATAATAATTTTATAAATTTATTGTGTAACTAATGTATAAGGGAAATTCACCAGTTGTGGGCACCCTTTTGTTTATGGCTCATAACTTTTAACCAAATGCATATTATGCGACATGTGCGTATCAGTGGCATTTTATATAGGTCTTAGGTAACTGCCAAAGAAGGAACTAAATTGATTTCTTTAACTAGAAAGATTTTATTAAAAATTTAGTGAAATGACTATTTTACAAAAACAGTGTACTGTCAACATACACGTTTGACTGTACACAGCAACATATACTTACTATGAAAAATTAAGTAGGGGTGTCCAGAAACGGAGCGTGCCCACAACCGGCGTAATTCCCCTACATTGCTGGGCCACTTAAGCGGACCGATTTTTATGATAGGGTCGGCTGTAGGTATCCAGCAAAAGATGGCATTATCGCCAGGCCAGCAAGAGAAGCAAGCGACAGAGGTTCGAAATAGCCTATTCCTCGAAGTGTCACGTGATCGTGGGGGAAATGCTTATTTCTCCCATTAGTGGAAGAAATAGGTGAAACAAAGTGACATATGCTATAGAAATCAACGCCAACTGCAGGGAAATGTTAAATCTAAACTAGCGCCATCTAGCAGATATCCGTGCAACTAACGTAGTCCGCGTTAATATCGCAGCGATAAATCGATATATCGTTTCATTTCGTACCTAACTTCATGTTGACACATAACCTAAAAGTGACGTGTGTGTTTAATTTTAGTTCTTCTACATTGTGTACTTATGAAATTTTTATATCTTTTGAGTTGGTGTTTTATAGTCAGGGGGCTTCGCCCCTGAACCCCCCACCGGGGCTCTGACCTTGGGCTCCGTCGGGGGTAAACCCCCCTTTCGAGCATCGACTCTCGTGTCGGCTTGATAGTAGTTCTGTGACAAAATTTCATGTCTCGTTTTTGACGCAAGGTTAGAGACACTAGTATATTATTCAATAGCGAATTCGGTCCTGCCCTCTCAATTACATTTCCCTTTACAGTATTAAAAGAAATTAGTATGTGCACCTCGTGGGAGACAGAGATTACCACTCGCGTGATTGCCGCGCTCGCGCAGCAAACTTCACGCTTGTGCAAAATCTCCCATGTCTCCCACTTGATACACAATGTACTATTCCTGAGCACAATTTACATTCAGAGGAAGGGCGCCGGTTCTGGACACCCCTACTTAATTTTTCACACCCTATTGAAAATCCCCACATGGGATCTTATATATGAATCCATATAAGTTCCTTTATAAAAACCGTTATGAAATCCTAGGTCCACATAGGAATCCACGTAGAATTCCATGTAAAATCATATATGAAATTCGGACACGATTTGGTGTATGATTTCATGTAGGAATTTATGATTTTGTTACCACATTGAAATATATGTGAATTCCTACATTATTTCCTATAATTTTTCTGGCATATTATTTTTGTCAATTTCCTTCATAATTAACTCACATCAAATCTATAAAAAAATATCATATAAAATTCTAAAGATTTCCTTATATATAAAATCTTACATACAAGTTTCAATATAGGAAACCATATGGGATTTCATGTGCATTCTTACATATGATTTTACATGGATTTGAACATAGGAAATCACATGAGGTTTCATGTAGATTCTGAAATATCAACCTAAGATTTCACATG